CAACATGGATGAACCTTGAGGATATTATGCTGAGTAAAATAAGCCAGTCACAAAAAGACAGATACTGTATGACTCAACTTATGTGACTGCCTACAGTAGTCATATTCTCAGGGACAGAAAGTAGACTGGTGATTGCCAGGGGCTGCAGGGAGGGGAGAATGGCAAGTTATTGTTTAGTGGGTATAGAGTTTCTGTTTTGCAAGAAAGAGTTCGGGAACTGGATGGTGGTGATGTTTGCACAACTGTGTGAATGTATTTAATGCCACTGAACTGTACACTTAAAAATGGTAACTTTTATGGTATGTATATTTTACCATAATAAGAAAAACTGCATTAAAAAAAAAGCCTCCAGTGAACATATAATTATTCTTAAAATGAAGAACACCTGCCTGTGGTGTTCTTAGGGCTAGGACAGTTCCCTCCATTTGCATGAATTAAATAAAAATCCATGTGATTGAAATTGCAGTCAATCCTGGCACTTCCCATGCAGGAGCCAGTGGGGCCCACCCTTCAGGGCATCCGTGGTGGAGGCTCCCTGCAGCCTCTGCCCCACAGCCTGCCCCAGCGGTCCTTTGATAGACGGACCTACAAAAAGACCAGCAGGCGCCCCTGTACCCAGAACAGGCTGTATACACACATACACCTGCACTTGCCTCTACTCACCCAACTTCAAAGATGGATTTGCTGTTCTTCACAGCCAGGGCAAGACACTTTCCTCCTTCACTCGTTATTTTGTTTTTTCCCAGCCTGCCGAGAGAGACGTGCACACATCAGCTCCAGCCGTGAGGGGGCTCCAGCGTCGGCCACCCTCGTCCTCAGCACAGAGCCCCTTGGGTCCCTCCTGGGAGGTGTGGTCTTTCTCCTGGGACCCACAGCAGCCGTGCCCTGGGCTTCCTCTCAGGGAGGGACCCAGAGCCCTGAGGGGAGCCAGTCGGGATTTCCCTCCAGGAGATGGTCACAATCTCTGCAGAAACTCAGGGACCTGAGTTCTCCTGGGGGATCTTTAAGTGACCTCCGAGCATCACTCCTTTCTATCAGCAGACGGGAAGGTTCTCACATCAACTGCAAATGGTCAAGGTATAGGTTACCATCACCAGGGCAGCACCAGGGGCTCCTCCACCTATGACAGAGCCAAGGATCAAGCTCTTGCTTGCAACTATGATGGCTGCTATGGTCTTAAATATTTGTCCCCTCCACTGCCCAGAATCCATATGTTGAAATCCTAACCCCAAAGTGATGGTACTAGGAGGCGGGGCCTTTGGGAAGTGATAAGGTCATGATGGTGGAGCCCTCATGAATGGGATGAGTGATTTATGAGGCCCAAGAAAGCTCCCTTTCCCACCACCACATGAGGACACAGTGAGCAGGCACTGTCTATGAACCAGGAATCGGGCCCTTACCAGGCACCTAATCTACTAGCACTTTGATCCTGGACACCCCAGCCTCCAGAACTGTGAGAAATAAATGTCTGGTGTTTATAAGAAACGTAGTTTATAGTATTTTGTTATAGAACCTGGAATGGACTAAGACAATGAGGAATTTCTTCGAGGGGAAAAAGACCTCCAGAAAGGGTGATAGTTGTGACCTATCTTCCTGTCAGGAGTTAACAAAACCAAAATGCCAAGCTCTCCCCCTGCCCACGGTAGGTGGCCCTTCCAAAATCTGAGCCCCACACAGCTCACCTTGGACACACAGGTGTCCTGATTTGACCAACGTGGCCTTGGGCAAGCAGATGGCGACTCCAGGGTGACATTTATTCTTTGTGTCAATAATGAAGGGTGACCAAGAGAAGCTACTGAAGAACCTGCCGTGCCCACCCCCACTTACTTCAGGTGTGTGAGGCCTTTGCACTCCTCCAGGATTCTGGCGATGTACCTGGCTCCGACATCGGTGATCTGGTTGTTGTATAAGCTTCGAGAGAAAACACAGCCGTGAGATTTTATGACCCCCATTTTTTTTTCTCTTAAACAGCTTTATTGAAATATAATTAACATGCCATAAAATTCAGTCATTTAAAGTGTACAATTTAATGGGTTTTAGTACATTTGCAGAATCTTGCAACTATCCCCATAATCTAATTTTTAAATACTTTTTTCTTTTCTATTATATATGGAATCTTAAAAAATGATACAAATGACCTCCATTTTTTTTTTTAAAGTGAGTAGGTGCTGTCTGCTGATTTCCAAAGTCTGGGTCAAAAGGAGAAAGGAAGGGTGAGGGGAGACCACAGTTTGGGGTTCTGGGTCTCAAGGTCACCTCTGCCACTCTCCCCAGCTTTATGACTGGAGGTAAGTTACCTAAGTTCTCCATCCATAATACAGGGGTAAGAACCACAGCTCCCTCACAGGGTTGTTAGGGGGATTGTATGAGCTCATTCCAAGCCCTTGCACATAGTACTCGATAAGTGGTAGGTGAAGGGTATGTTTAGATTAAGATTACAATCAGCATCTTGAGGGGGGCTAGTTTCTGAGCACTGGAACACCTCAGGGTCTACCTTTTAGTCATTTTACCACTTGATGCCAACTGAACAATAAGGCAGAAACTTGAAAGTGGTAAGTGGACAGGTTTCCCATGTCCACAGTCACGCAGAACTCCAGAAGCCTGGGATCTAGTGTTTCAGTGTTTCACACGGCCTGGGAGCCTTGTGTTACAGCTGAGAACACTGGGGCCCACAGAAGCTGACAGACTGGCTTCAGTTTACAGAGTCAACAGTGGCCGTGGGGCTGGCTGGACTTGCCCACAAACTCTCACCTCAAACACCAACATCTCAAAGGCTCTGAAAGCCCAAAGTTCTTCTTAACTATTTGGCAACTGATGTGGAGCTATTCGTGATCTTTATTTCAACTGGTACATTTTGCTGCAGAAACGTTAAAGTGCTTGGAAGTGGGGTGCTACCCTAGAATCAGTCATGTCGTTGCTACAGAGCATGTACACTGATTTCTGATTCATGTCTTGCCCTAAAGGTTCTGGATGTCAGATCACGGACCCATAGTAGTGAAATCTACTACAGAAGTAGTCCCCCGTTCATAAAACCTATCCAGGTATTCTGTCATTACGTCCCTCAGTCACCACTGGTCAAACTATTTGCTTGCATTAGGACCCCAATTATACAAGGGGGATGAGAAGGCTGAAGCTCAGGGGGATTCTCTGACTTGCTCGAACAGAGGGCTGCTGGGTGAGCCAAGAGCAGGACCCAGGACTCTGGCTCCCCACCCAATGCTCCTCCTACTGCCCTGGGGCCATCAGCCTCAACCATCCAGGGAGCCACATAATGGCCACTTCCTGCCACTCTGTTATTACTGTACAGCTGTCCCGTGTTCTTGAGAAATACATACCCTAAAAACGTCAGTATTTTGTATTTGGTCAGCTCTTCGTACAGCACCTTCACCCCACTGTCGGTGATCTGGTTTACACTGAGTCTGAAAACAACAGCCAAGAAAGTTAAAAATCAGAGCAGCTACTCACTATGAAAGAGCATCCATTCCACAAGGATCCAGAAGCTTACAGGTCCTGGAGTTTTCACAGCTATAAATGCCCCCCTGGCTAAATGGCCCCTAAAGAGCCTGGTCTTCATGGGGCGAGAAACCCTCCAGAACCAGCCCATCAGCGACGCGACAGCCCAGCCCTGATTCAACATAAGGGACACATGCAGACAGCCACCTCTGATAGCCTGCATTTGCCAGTGGCCTCCATGTCAATGTGGTTCTCACCACATAGCAGGGGGCATGAGATCTGGAACCATGAGGAGCTACATTTAGGGGTGATAAGGCAGGGAGAGGGGCCACCCCACCATCTCACAAGTGGGGCCAGGGATGTTAGGGGTTCCCACAAGAACTGTCCCAGCCGAGGATTGGAAGAATCAATATTGTTAAAATGGTCACAATGCCCAAGGCAATCTACAGATTTAATGCAATTCCTATCCAATTACCCAGGACATATTTCACAGAACTAGAACAAATCATAATAAAATTTATATGGAACCATCAAAGACCTAGAATTGCCAAAGC